ACGCGATCACCCGATCTCGCCCTTCGGCGTCTGTTTGCAGCAGTGCACAGCCGATGGCAAAGTCCGAAGCGTCACACACGACCCTAAAAGGACGATCGGGGTCTAACAACACCAGTATTAGTGGATGAAGGAGGTTGTCTTTGACCCCGTCAAAAGCCTCCAAATGCTCGGTGTCCCAACACCATTGCGTATTCTTCTTAAGGAGATTCGACAATGGCTGTGCCTTCTGCGTAGCTCTCTCTGTACTTGTGCAAGTAGTTGCCGAGGCCAAGCCACTTGCGTTCTTTAGAACCGTCCAATCCACAATGACCTTGATCTTAGCGGGTTCGCTCAAAGGCCGTGCTTCCCAATGAAGCGCTCGTAAAAGAAGATTTCTTTGGCGCCGAAGACACAGTTGTCTGCATTAGCATACAGCTTATTCGTGCGCATGCACTCGATCACCGCTCTTTATTGAACGATATGATTCTCTTCATCTGCCCCCCCGTGCTCCGCACGACTGTGGACGAAGATGGCATCGAAGTATGTCTGTACATACGCCCGATGGGTCCTGAACAACTGCGTCACAGGACAATTAAATGTTGCTTGGTCATTTGGTAGTCCTTGGGAATCCCAGAGTATCCTGCTCGAAGTACTCACCGCTGTCAGCGGAATATAACTCGCTATCATGAGCAATTGGTAATGCTCATCGACCAAGTCTAGTGCACAGTACTTTGTACATCCAGCCATGTTGTTCTGGAGAACTTTCCTTCTAGGAATTGGCGTCTGTGCCAGAATGGTGGAATCGTTGAGCTCATTATAAGTGCGGACAATACGCCACATGCCGTTCAGCTTCCAGACACAATACGTGGGTGTCGAATGAGGATACTTGCTCTCACGCATTATCACTGCGTCGTGCTTTCGCACGGAAGAAGGCGCCAATGACACCACACTGCTCCTTGAGCAGGCGTCATTGGCGTGTTACGCATTATTTGGTTCCCGAAACCAGGTCGATCTACCTCGATCCGAAAATGCGGGTCTTTGGAGACGCTTGGAATTTCTTTACCAAAGGATGGTACGGGTCCGAGGGATTTTTGGGATCGAAGATCCACTTCGTACGCTTAGCACCCTCTTGGTGTCCTCCAGGACAGCTTCATTTAGAAGCGACGACAAGTTGATCTCATCTTCCAGTCGTATAATGACCACTTAGGCTAAGTCGCTCGCCTTCAAGGCACCACCAAACGCTTCGAAGAACATCTCGTCCAGCTCAAGAAGAGCATCCACCGCAGGAAAAGCCTCGAGGGTGACGTTGTAGTCTTTTTCTCCCGTCATACCGTCGACGAGGGTGTATAGCTGTGCATTATAGTCTACGGTAGATACACCCTGGATCAGGGTCGACGCCCGGCGTTTGCAACAAGTATACGACGTCGCCGTCACCTCTCCACAGAGTTTTACGACTCGGCGGGACCAGTAGATAACGTGCCACTCAACGTGAATCTGAAAGGCCTTGCCCAAAATGCCTCGGACCTCGTCCGATAATGCCACTCGTGTCATGCAGCGACTGATTTGAAAACGTGAGAAGTACTCAGTGAATTGTATGTGCGTACTGGCGCCTCGCCCTTGATGCCTCGGACAATGGTCGACCATGCCACTCTTGGTATGAAGCAACTGCTTTGATACCTGAGTAGTGCTCATTGGGTTACGTGCCATTCCACGTGCATCACTGGGGCATCGCCCTCGATATCTCAGCCCTTGGCCTACCATGCCACGAATGACATGCAACGACTGCTCCGATACTTGAGCAGCGCTCAGTGGGCTACGTGTCACTCCACATTAAGCCCGCGAGCCATACCGAAACTCCTGTCCGATACACCTTCGGTGTTCACCTACTCGAGTTTTTCAATCTCTGGCACGGTGACCGTCTCAATCCAATGCCCGTGCCAATAGCGTTTTTGCTTTAGCAGAGGTGGGTTCGGGACTCACCAAAGCTCCACCAGGATACGTACACGTAGCGCCCAAGGTTTTCGATATCCAATCGATCCATGGCTCATGGTGCTTGGACCATGCCATACCAAGAATGAGAACATACCTCAAATCATAGTCTAAGACTAAACAGCGGTCCACGCTATCAAAGACAAAAAAGTTGACACCGAGTTCGGTACCGTGACATGTGCCCCCGTCGCTCAGCGAACAGTGACGATGTCACTCAACCGCTCTTTCAGCGCCTCAGCATACAGCTGTTTATCTTCCATTGCGGGGCGTCGAGAATACTGCCCGATGTCCCGGAGTTGATCAAGATCTTCCATGGCTTCTCAAAGCCCTCCACGGTCGCTTTTACGACCAGCAACCCCGGCTTGTATACACGTTCCGTTTTTACGAGCACGTAGCTTCGGGGTTGGGCTCTGCAGATCCCCAGTAGGCCGCCCCGCGCCTACTGGATGCTGTCATTTCCTCGCGACAAACCAGAAGACTACTGAGAAGCGGGATGACGGCTCGTTGAACCTTGACGCGCCTTGCGCAGGTGACAACCAGTCCATAGGTGATGGGTGTCCCCACAGAAAAACACCGTCGGATGTCCGAACGCTGCTCGGCAGCTCGGAGCTCTGCCTCCTCGTCATCAGCGTAACTGAGATCCATCGGCTCCGGCCCGCTCGACGAGCTGCTAGGGTGTGTATTCCAATCCGACTTAAAGTTGAAATCGGCTTTCAATGCTACATTCTATACTTCTACAACAGATGACCGGTGCACATGGAAGACTTCAATTTTGGCCATGCCACTGCTGAGGCCCTCCACAAAGACGGTCACTGTGACCGCCTCGGGAAGTGGATCGGCTGCAATACCGACAATGAGAGTGCGCAATTCTTTAACAAAGTCCATCAATTCTTTCTTGCCCCGTCGGACAGCAAAGAAATGCGATCGCATGCGATAATCCTGATTAGCCGTTGAGACCACTTTCAAAAGCTGCATCTTCGGCTCTGTCCAGGAGGAAAACGCTGCTTCGACTGAAGTGCCACACGTTAGTGCCCATTCTCGCGCTTGGCCCCCGAGCTTGGAGATAGGTAGCGCCACGCGCTGTTGCTCGGTCTGGAGCATGGCGGACGCCATAGCCATCTCGGCCTCTATCACTCGAAGCAGGAGATTATTTCCATCTGTATCCTCGAAAGTCTTAAAGCTCACCATGAGCAGCTTGGGTCGAAATGAGTCAATTGTCGTCGACGGTGGTGTCATGTACACCGTCGACGTCGATATCTTCTGCTGTAGGTGCTATAGCAGAGCATTTTCATGACTCAAAACGCATAAGATCCGTGCAATGCGAGGTATTTCACGCCGTCAGGGCCAAGCTGATACATTTTAAGTTTGTTCTGAATGCCCTGAGGCAAATAGGAGAATTGCTCCATCCTCACAGAGAATCAGTCGTAACGAATCGGGCGTAGATTGGCTACGAGTGCTACCAAGCGCAGCGGGTTGCCGTTGCTATTTGCTTTGAGGAAGCTTGAAAAGGTTACGACAAATGACTCCTCCCGACTCAGGTCGCTCATGATGAGCTTTACGATCTTCGAGGGTAAGGAAGGCAAAAATTTCCTGCTCTTGGTGAGTGAAGCCGAGATGGCTACGGCATCCGCTTGCTCCAGAACGAGCAACAGCGTGTGACGCTAGCTACTTTAAAGCTCGGTGATTGAGCGCGAGAATGGTATACTCCGGTTAAAACGGCGTTTCCCTTTCTTACGGAACTGAAGCCGCAGCTGTTACGAGTATTCTTGCCGCCAGACCAATTATATCGCGCGCGATCGCGTTTTCTTCCGCACGACAGGGCAGTTTAAGAATTTCGTAATCTCATTGCCAATATGGCAGCCGATCCTCCTCCGAGGCAATCACAGCAACCCTCTTTATGGAGGGCCCCCGCATTGACGGGGCCAGAATGGAAGTCTTCCGTGTGCACCCATCTTTTTTTGAAGGAGCAGTTAATATGGCATTTAATGCCGAATTCAACTTTGAGTCGTCACGACTTGACTGCAATACACACACTAGCAGCTCGTCGAGCGGGCCAGAGCCGATGGATCTCAGCTATGCTGAGGACGAGAAGGCCGAGCTCCGAGCTGCCGATCAGCGTTTAAACGCCCGACGGTGTTTTGTCTGCGGAGACACTCGTCACCTTCGGACTGGTTGTCCCTTGCGCATGGCGTCAAGGTTCATCGAGTCGACGCCACGCTTCCCATTAGTCTTCTAGTTTGTCGCAGGGAAACAACAACACTTAGCAGCCTACTAGGGATGAACTGAGTTCTCTTGAGCCTCAAAGAGATAGAGGGCAGCAAGGCGCAGCCCCGAAGAGCTCCGTGCTCTTGAACACGAAACATGTATGCAAGCCGGGCTTGCTGGTTGTAAAAGCGACGGTGAAGGGCTCTGAGAAGCCATGAAGGATCCTAATCGATTTCGGGGTGTCAGGCAATTAATATCAACGCTTAACGACGATAGGAAGTCAGCTGTTTGCTGAGGCGCTGAAAGCGCGGTTGATTGACACTATCACTGTTCGCTTAGCGACGGGGACTTGTGTCACGGTGTCGAGGGTCCCTGTGGATCTCGGTAGAGAAGTGAAGAGAAGAGGAAGAGAAGAATGTCAAGCTTCTTGACTTTGATAGCGTGGAACGCTGCTTAGTATTAGACTTGGATTCACGGTATGACCTTATCCTTGGTCCGGCATGGTTGGAACACCATGGACCATGGATCGACTAGAGGTCGAAGACATTGAGCGCTACGCCCATGTCTCTCGGTGGAGCTTTGGTGAGTCATAAACACACCTCTGCCAGGGATCAGAGGCGCTATTGACGCGGGCACTGGGTCGGGATGGTCAATGTGCTGGAATTTTAAAAACCGAGTTGTCGAACACTGAAGGTGTATCGGACAGGATAACCAAGCATGGCTCGCGGGCTGAGCGTGGAGTGGCACAAAACCCATTGAGCACTGTTCACGTTTCATAGCATTTGCTGCATGCCAAAAGTGGCACGGTCGGCCAAGGGCCGAAGAATCGAAGGCGAGGCTCCAGTGGTGCACGTGGAGTGGCACGTAACCCACTCAGCACTGGTCAGTTGCTGCATGCCAAGGGTGGCATGGTCCGAGGCATCGAGGGCAAAGCCCTTCAGATGCGCGTGGTGTGGTACGTCATCCACTGAACGAAGTCTGCAAAAATCTTCTTCGGATGTTGTTAATAACACCCCGATGGAGCAGGAAGTGGGGACAACGGACGACGCTGAGTGCGTGTTCCCGCTGGTCTCGACGAGTTTCAAAACCTCTATAAAGAGGAGACGGCGAGGCCGTATCATATCTGCTAGACGCAAGGCGTCGACCCTGACCGAGGGTGTGTCTACCGTAGACGATAATGCACAGCTATACATCCTCGTCGACGGTATGACGGGGGAAGAAAAAGGCAACGTTCCCCTCGAGGCTATTCCCGCGGTGGATGCTCTTCTTGAGCTGGACGAGATGTCCTTAGAAGGGTCTGGCGGTGCCTTGAAGGCAGGCGATTTAGCCGAGGTGGTCACTATACGACCGGAAGAGGAGATCAACTCGTCGTTGACTCTGAATGAAGCAGTTTTGGAGGATACCAAGAGGGTGCTGAACGCACGGAGTGGATCGTCGATCCTGAAGGTTCTGAATTTCAAATCGTCATTCCCAAAAACCCGCTATCGGTCCTACCTCCGGGCCGAGGTGTGCGTCATGAGATTGACCTGGTTCCGGGAACCGAATCCCCACCCAATGAGCAGTGTGACGTAATTGGTGCCCGTTTTTGTGCGAAGCACGACGTGCGTAGAGTAAGTCTTCCCTTTCTACATCCATGTTTTGTGTCCGGAAGCGGAACGGCAGGTGGCGTATCGTTTACGCTTACAATAAGCTGAACGCTGCACCCATCCGGCACAGACGCCGATTCCTGGGAAGGATGTCTTCCAGAACAACATGATTGGATGTACAAAGTACAGTGCACTTGACTGGTAGATGAGTATTACCAATTGCTCATGAGAGCAAGTTAATTCCGCTGGACGTGGTGAGTATTACGATGGGGAGTGGCTGAGGATTCTTCAATTGCTAACAAACGACTTAGCAAAATTTAATTATCCTGTAGCGCAGTTCTTCAGGCCCCACCGAGTGTATGCTCAGACACATGCACAGACATACTTTCACAACATCTTCGTCCACAATTATGTGGGACACGCGAGGACAGATGAAGAAAACTACATTGTCCACTAAAGAGCAGTGTTCGAGTGCATGCGCTCGACTAAGTGCGCGCTGTATGCTAATGCAAACAGGTGCGTCTTCGGCGCCAAAAAATCCTCTTTAGAGTGCTTTATCGGGAAGGTCGTCCTTCGAGCGGATCCCGCTGAGTAAGAGTCGGTGTGGACTGGCGACTCCAAAGAGCCAAAATGACTTGCCCAAGTGACCCGGCCTCGCCAACTACTTGCACAAGTACAGCAAGAACTACGCAGAAGTGGCACAGCCATTGTCGAATCTCTCAAAAAAGGATGCGGAATGGTGTTGGGACTTCGAACATTTGGAGGCGTTTGACGGGGTCAAAGACATCCTCCATCATGCACCAATACTGGCGTTGCCAGACCCCGATCGTTCTTTTAGTGTCGTCTGTGGTTCTTCGGACTTTGCCATCGGCTGTGCACTGCTGCAAGCAGACACCGAGGAGCGAGATCGGGTGATCACGTTTGAATCTCGCCAGCTTAAGGCTGCGAAGAAGAACTACCTAGTCCACGCCAAGAAATTACTTGCGATGAAGTATGCACTCGTCAAATTCAGGGTGTACCTGCTGGGCTCAAAGCTGTTTGTGATCTACACAGATCATGCATCATTAGGCACTGTGACTCAGTCGCCTCATTTCTCGCAGAGGATGGCCAGGTGGCTCTCCTTCTTCGCAGAATATAATTTCGAGAGTGAATGCTTTGGCTGATGCGTTGTCACGCAGACGAATTATGAGCGTGATCATGTCACGACGGTGACGACGTCAGTGACGGATTTGATCCACGCCGCATCCGCGGGTGATGATATATGCGTAGCGCTGCTATGGGCTCGCGGGAGCAAGAAGTTTGGAAACTTGGTCAACAAGTTGTCGTTGGGATTGCGCGCGCGGCTACATCGATATTCGCTGAATAACGAATTGCTTTATTATAGCATCGATTCCAGTTTTCTCACGATTAGAACTTAAGATAATGTATCCTCTATGAGGCCCACGACACCTCACGCAGAGGTCATCTCGGTCGTTAGAAGACGTACAACCCGGTGTGTTGCCACTATTGGTGGACCAAGCTGTACAAATTGACGAGCTCATATGTGCGCACGTGTGAGATACGTCAAAGGGCGAAATACTGTCCGAATGCGGCGGCGTCGCTGGCCAGTTACCGGTACTTTCCGGGCTTGGCCTCGAAGGGACTCGGCGGGCAACACGGGCGCGGTGGTCTTTGTCGACAGTTTGAGAAATAAGGTTCATATTGCGGCAGTGTCGAACACCATCGACAGTGTGGTTACAGCGACGCTGTTTGTTGATCGTGTTTTTGATAACATGGACTTCCGAAGTCAATTGTCTCTCGAAGAGACTCATGATTCACTGGGAAGTTTTGGTTGACAACCTTCAGGGTGCTGCGCACCAAATTGACTATGTCAACATTGGACCATCCGCAGACTGATGATCAAACTAAGTGCGTGAATCGCGTCGTTAAAGACGTTCTCCGCAGCGTCTGCGTTGAGAGCGCTAAGCACCATGCTGCCACTTGTGGAGTTTGCTATGAACAATGCAGAGCATGCGTCTACCGGCTACACGCCCTTCAACGCGACCGGGCTCGTTTATCCTCGCATTCCGCTGATGCCGCCATCCCATGGCTTAGGTATTGGTGGGGGAGGAATAGTCGAGCAGCTAGCTGATGTCAGCCCCCTCACTATCCGTAAAGAAGTTAACGATCTCTTGTCTGCCAGACTGAGTCTCTTCTGACACGTTTGCGATGCGATGGCTGAAAGCCAAGTCATGCAAAAAGAATATGCAAATAAAAAAAGCAGAAGAAATGTTGAAAACTTTCAGATCGGAGACCTCGTTTTTTAACCTTTCTATACATGTGGTGTCGGCTGCCTTTAAGACGAAGATTCGTCCACAATTTATTGGAGCTTTTAAGGTCGTGGCTAAGCGAGGCCTTGCGTATACGCTTAACCTTCCGAAAAGGATGCGCACCCGTCTTTTATGT